GGGGGGGGGGGGGGGGGGCAGACCCTAGAAGCAAACGGGAGTTGTTTACTACGCCAAAAGAGCGAGAGGGAGGCCCACCAAAAGCTACGAGACTGCAAGCTTTATGCACCCATGACGCAGAGAGAGAAAGAGACAAGACCCATCACGAAGACGTGATACCAACTTCAACGAAGGCAAATCAAAACCACTGGATGGCTAGTCAGCGCCGACTAGTCTTCTAGTGGTTTGATTTCGGTTCTAATAGATACCATGGTAGAGGATATAGATTTACACCAGGGTTGTTGTTGTTCAGGCACGACAAGGGGTGCTAGTCATCCACGAGCACTTCTTCTGTACCCCAGCCAACCGTACGCTAAACTTGCGTGAAAATAATACTTCGTAGGATAGTGCGTCCCAAAAAATGGAAATGGAAACCAAAAAGTACCCAACACAAAAAAAACGGAACCTACCCAACCAACCATTCCTATCATGGTGCCAAGATAAAAATTCCTAGACTTCCGGGCGGACAAAACTCCGACGTAATAGAGCACCACGACGCTGTTACACTCACTCCAGTTCGTCCAGGTCCAAGAGCACGTTGGCCTTTGCCTCGTCGAACCACGGCTCTTCCACCGCCGCCATCGACACCCCGCCCCTCCTACCGACGGTCGTGCTGCTGCGGGTCCTGGCTGTAGTAGAGCGTACTAACCCCCCCGCCTGCTTCGCGGCCAGCGGCACCTGTGCGTTTTTCGTTGTTGGCGGGATTCGTTTTCCCCAGGACATGCCCAACCAGATCAGCAGGTGTTGCTATTAGTGGTATCAATCAGCTGGGATGCTTTGGAACGCACATTGATGCAAGAGAAACAGCAGAGTTGGCAAAATAAGTGGCCAGTGGCATTATGACGGTATCACTGGCGTTGACAGATTACCCTTGCCCGGGGGCGTAAATTCATTGATGCATGGCAGCAGCATAGTATCAAAGCCCCCCCCACAGGCGGGTGTGGATCGAGATCGGGGTAGTAATTAATGTGTCGTGAACCTGGAAAAAACTGAAAAATAAATTTGGACACCGGACCGTTAGAAATCTACCACGCATCCCCCCCACGGTGTGGCGAACCAATTTTCAAGCCCGATTTCGTCACGAAGAAACACTATCATCCATGGTGGTGTCATTGGAAATGCACCGTCAACCTCTTCTCTACACATTGTCATTATTTGTCTTCAACGATCGCTCGCGGGCCGGAGCGATGCGCGCACACATGTCTAAACATATGCACACCACATTTCGTGTCTTGGCGGGGGTTCCGAGCGATAGACGGGCGGATTCGGACTGAAGCTAGCTGAGACTGCTTGTAGACAGTGCGACAGCAAAAGTCAGCAACTATGTACAACAACAGTTCGCCATCTGCTGAGATAATTTCTATTGACGACGCAAGGTCCAAACTTTATTTATTTATTTTCTTCATAATGTGACACAACGAATCATTTGTGTTAAGATGCTACTTTTTTTTTTTTGTCAGCCTATGTAGTGGTACGGCTGCCAGGGGGAGACTTGGGGTCTAAAGGTGTACATGCATGACTCTGCTACAAAAAGCGGACCGGGGTACATACATCACAGAGAGAGGCAAAAAAGGTGTCGGGTGGACATTACTTTTTTACAAACGAGCTTGTAGGCACAGCCACATGTATGTACTACAACTAACTGCTGCAAGGAGAGGCAAATTCACTTCTGGGGAAGCACCATCAACCAGTCTGTAGAAACAAACGTAAACGCTAAATATGCGTATGATATGCATCCAATGATTGTACTCAAAAAAGAGCCGTGGCGAATGTCGGCCACAATCATACAGACAGATGGACCCACTCTACAGCGGTACTGCTGTACTGGTGCTGTAGATCGCTGCACAGGTACTTTGTGGGATGACAGAATATCGCATTAGCTGTGTTTACTCATGCAGGGGATACACGTCGAGGTAGCACACCCAAGGGGGAGGTAGGAGCTAGGAACAGCAGGCGAATGCACTTTTGCGAAATGGGTCATTTCGTCATTTCCTAACGCTGCGCATTATCTTCCTACACTGCAGTGTTAAACCAGAGGGAGCTGCCGCCGTAGAGCCAGTTCTTCCCCACACAAGTTGTTCGCCAGGTCAATGGAAGTCGGCGTGGCACGTGATTCAAACAAAACACACCATAAAGAGAATTCCCCCACCCAACACCCGCAAGCCACGTGTATCACGCGCAGATCATTGCACAGCACACAGCACCAGCAACCCCGACTGCTGCTCCTGCTGCTGCTGCTGCCGCTGCCCCTGGGGATCCAATGGTCCCTATCCCGCAAGATATTGTAGTCTACTTCTACACTTTCTTCGGATTGTACCACAACAACGAAAGTCTCTCACCACGAAGGCATCCCCGACGGCGAGCGCACCGAGCGTGAGGCATGCAACACGGAACGCCATGATCGTTCAGCTCTCAGGGTGCTGTGACAACCGAACAGGAAATTAGGAGTGGTGTGCGGAGAGAAAATCAGTCGGACAGAAGTTGAGGTTTCTACGGAATTAGATCGGGGGCCGTGCACACAGGAAAATTTGAATTTCGCCCACACCCACCTACCCTTCCTTGGAAATGCGGCCAAACCAAACCAACCAACGTCGCGATCTTGTGCCGGTAGCTGTCACCCAGGATAAGCTCCGTTGTTGCAGGGAACACGTGTAGATAGGGTGTATACGAGCCTTCATGTTCGGGGGAAAACCGCCACCTATAGTCGAAGAGCAGGCCCTGAGGGCGAAGCAGCACAGAGGAGAGCTGGAGACGTTTCAAAACCATCATGTATGTGTCGTATGGGTAAATCTGTCCGCAATTGTGACGACCACGCGCATGTTTTTCGCCAGTCTCCTCGCTCTTGCAAGATATACAGTCGATGCTCCCCAGTAGGCGCTATTGCTGTTGGACGACGGAGAACTAACTGCTAATTCATCCTTGATGGCACACTAACCCTACAGAGAACCTCATCAGCACGTCGGCTCTACGCGCCCGTGCTGCATTTAGACCTTGTGGTCAATCTTGTTGCAAATCTCTTGTTTGTGCACACGCACACGGCAACCCCACTTCTTGTCCATCCTGCCATACCCGCCCTGCTTTGGTCTTTGGTTTTGAGCTATTGTAATCATAACCAAGCTTGGGTTTCCTCGCCTTAAGTACGCCGGGCTCAATTCCTTCTTTGTGATGTTGCACGAAACCTAGGTGCACATCCGTCGTCTCCCGTTGTACTCGGAGCTGCTAGCGAGGCTGGGTCCCGTCGCCGCCCGAGAGCTCACGTGTTACGATGCAGGCCACCAGCCACAGGGAGGAGCGTTCCGGGAACTGTGGCTCCGCTATCACGCCACTAATAGCCAAGTCCTCCAATCGTCGGTAGACAAACCGAAAGAAAAAAGTCGTGCGCGGGGGAATTGCGACGACAAAATACCACAGGGCGAGGCTGGAAAGGCAAGGGAAGAAATCGACGACTGCGTTGACGGGGGTGGTGATGCGCTCGGCCTGTCCTTCAAGAGCGAGGTGGAGACTGTCGAGCGAGCTTTGTGGAGGCGAGAAATTTTGGGCGTTGAGCGGGGGCTTCAGCTCCGGCGATGCCGTTCGCGCGCACGTTCTCGGTTGCACCACCTTTGGCACACCACAAACGGTTGAAGAAGGGCGATGGTACTCGTTTAGTGTCAACACCGCTTACATCTTAATCGTCAGCGTATAAGAATCACTCCAAACCCTTTAGACGTACGTCAGAGGTACATACCCAAGCGCACGGCTACATCACGCGAAGAGGGGGGCAGCACCGGCAGCAATAGAGGCGAAGAGAGCAGTATTCTGGCACCTGCAGAGAGTTCGTGTGTGTTTACCTACTGTACGGAACTCGGAGATGCTACTCCATTCATTGTTGTTGTCGAGACAAAACTTTCGAGCGCAACCTACGACTGCCTTGTTGCACGAATTCGGACCTCAAAAAGTAGGCAACCGATTGCTGTCCCGTAAATAACGCACTCGTCCGGCGAGCCTTTACAAAACATGCGTTCATGTATCCCACCCTCATCATCATCGTACACAGTGTTACAGCGACAACCGACCCTGCAAAAACAACCCAAGAGTCAAGCACGCAGGCCAACAGAAGGAAGCAGGATCGATCGTTCGTGCCGTTTGTGGCCCCGACACATGGAAACACAACGTTTGAAATAGTCCATTCAGAAGGCGACAAAGTCAAAGGAGGGTGGAGGCCGCAGAGATAGTTGACCGCGCACATCCCTCCAGCGACCCATCATGGAAAGGCGGGCGCGCGCAAACACCCTCCTCATCAATTGACTTCACACGCAAAAAGCCTTCATCTTCACCACGCACACCACCACAGCAGTTCTTGGGCATTTTTCCGCGCCCCGAGACTCGTGATACATACGGGAAACAGGAAACCAAACAACCCTTATTTTTCTTCTACTCTTCTTCCGCGGCTTGGACCCAAAGTCCAGAAGAATGCCGTCTACCTACCACGCATCCGTCATTTCGCCCGGCTCGGCTTCAGACTCTTCTAGGATCCCCGCGCCAATGCACCAGAACAAACAACACAGAGCGTTCAGTCTTGCATACATGCGGTGGCGCGGCCATTCTATGCCCTCATCCTCCATCACCTTCTCTTCTATGTACGTTCCGCGCTCCTTCGCTGGTATTTGTTGCTACTCCCGATCACAGCGTTGGCAGCAAGCGCCCCCTGTTTCATCACTCGCGCTCCTTCCTTCTCGCTACTGTCACCGCTGATGCTCTGACATCGGATGCACTCAAAAACATTCCACACCACTCTCGACATCCATCCACATCAAATCGGCGACGCCATGGACTCGCGGTGGCGGTGAGGCACGAGCATCAGCTGGTCGAGTTGCAGCTTGAGCACCTCACAGAACCGCTGGCTCTCCTCCCACTGGAAGTCGCTCTCCATGAGCATGTCGTGCAGCTCCAAGAACTCCGCCTTGAGAGAAATCAGCCGGTCCGTGATCACCGGAGGCCGCTGGCGTCTGCTCCCGCCGCCACCCCACCCATTACTTTCCCCGCCCTGCGCCGCCGCCACACTATCCCCGTCACCCGCCGCCGCGGAACCCCTCCCTTCTTCGCCTCCTTTCTGACCCGACACTGGCGAAGAGCGCGAGCCGTGCGGGCCGAGCGCCAGGGGCGACGCAGAGTGCATCGAGAGGGGGGATCGCGGGCCGCCGCCGCCGCCGCCCTCCCCCGCCCCCGGTGGCATCGGCGACCCCCGCTGTGGCGGCGGGGGCGCGAGGGGCGACCCTCTCGAGGACCCCCCGCCCCCGCCCCCCTGCCCTACCGAACCGCCTACTAGGGGAGAACCACGGTTTTGGTGCGCGTTGGGACCCAACCTTGGACCAACCCCACCACGCTCGGGGTGCATAGGAGGGTGTCCCGTGGTGCGCCCGAGACGGCCCATGCTTGACGATGACGATGGCCCCATCCCCCCGCCCGGGGGCCCCGGGGAATGGCGGTACTGGTGGTGGTTGTTGTGGTTGTTGTGGCGTGCGGGGTTTTGCTGCTGCCCCCACGCCCCGCCACTCCCTGCTCCCCCTCCTGGGCCGTTGGCAAGCGGGTGCATCCCCTGCTGGTGCTGGTGTCGTGCGTGATTGCCGCCGCCGCTGCCCCCTCCTTCCATGGCGTAGCGGGATGATGGGTCCCCCGGTGGAGTGGAGCGGCCGTCCCAGCCAGGGCGGTGGTTGCGAGAATCGGCGTAGTTGTTGCCTGGAAAAAATTGGCGCAGAAAGGGCCGGGCGACAAACGCGAGACATGAGATATGCATTCATCGTAGCAAACCATATTTCGTCACGCCTCGTTGCGAGAGTAAAGTCAACTTAGAATTTTGTTCGTGGATAAAGGACAACACTCCGCCTCTTGCTGATACCTCTCAAAAGCTCTGTGCCTCAAGTCGAGAGCAGTCGCTTGTGATGCCGTTGTATTTACGTCAGCATTCGACTATCGCTGGTGTCTTGCAAGTATTGCAACATAACGTGCATATTTCAGAACACGCGCTGTGTGCCCTTTCGCATTCTTGCGAGAACGTACGGCAATCGCCATCAATCGATCTCAGCCACCTTTCACCACTATTACCACTCCTCCCGTTTATCCTTGCACACCTAAGAACCCGGTCTATATGCCTTGGTAAGGCTGCTTCGTCTCAACGCAGGCCTTTCTACGGACACAACAACCAGCAGGAAGTAGCAACTCCGAGATTGTACTCTCAAAGAGATTAGAGCGTCTTCATTTTCGACTACCAGGCCGTGTAACTTAGCTCACAGCGGAACATCGACAGTGGCATTTCAGACGCTTGTACCTCCAACTACATCCTCACACTTGGCCAGACACCGGTGCTGCCAGCACGGCGGTCATGTTTGTTTTTTGAAAAACGAAAGCGCGCGTCACGAGCATCTTCAACAAACTGCCCACTCTCTTTTCACGACAGAATTGTAGCAGGTAGAAGCCATACTATTTTACTGTTCTCGGCAACGACAGCGTAACGCCATTTTCTCATTCCACCACGATTTTTGCTTGCACAGTGAGCTTTTCTCTCCCTTCCACTCTTGGTTAAAGCGCAATGTACTAGTAAATATGTATTCTGGTACAGTATAATAGTTCGTGTGTACACTTTTGAGGGAAGAGAGTGCTGCACTCTTTCTCGCGCTAAAAATCAAAGCCAAGCACACAGGAGGGGTGGTTAGGGGACGAACTCTTTTGCGTCAGCACGGATTGGAGCCCTACGCGGCAGAACACTGCGAGCGCTAGCCAGGCAAAACCCCCGTTCTTATCATCTCACCACGGAAGTCCTGCTTGAGGAACTCTTGGCCCCGCCCGCGGGGCGGGCTCGGCGAGTCCTCCTCCAAGTCCATCGCCACTGGCTCCGGGCTGCGGGGACGCTTGTAACCCCCTCCCCCGCCCCCTCTGCTGCCTCCTCCCCCCATCTGGCCAGGCATCCCGCCGGCGTTCCTATCCTGCCAGTCACCACCGTTGCGCCCACCGCCGAGGGGGTAGCCTAAAGACGCTCTCCTCGCAGACACGCTCAGGGTCCCGGACCCGTGGCTGTGCTCGGCCGAGCTCATGAGCGGGGGGGGTTGCGGGGGCGTTGGGTTGTACCTGCCGTCGGCGGTGTTGCGCAATAGCGGGCGTCGGGGGGGGGGGGGGGGGGGAACACCAATTGGGGGTTCAATGGTTTTGTCCCTTTTTGGGGACCGGAAAACCATCTGGGGGGCCCTGGTGGGGGGAAAAAACC